CAAGAGACCTGACCCCCCATCTCTCACAAACCTGTGTACAAGAGACCTGACCCCCCATCTCTCACAAACCTGTGTACAAGAGACCTGACCCCCCACATCTCTCTCACAAAGAGGTTGTCTTAAAAAAAACAACAACAAACCAAAACATCAAATTGACATTTTTGAAGCCCGTATAATCGAGACTGGAGGCTGGGCAAAGGGAGGACTGCAGCGGAGTGTCCTCAGCCAACGACAGGCGCTGCTTCCTTCCTTCCTTCCTCCCTCGAGGGAACACTGGGCTGCAGCACATGGTCTGGTCTTAGGGCGTTTCAGTGCCGCTCCTCCATTGCATACAAGCATCTGCAGTGGGAAGTTAGCAAGCGGCGCACGCACCCTACTGAACAGCCCAGAGCTCCACGTGCAGATACTGAGCTGCTGAAGGACCAGCGTGCAACATGGCCTATAGGAAGTGCAACACAGAAAAAGCACACTCCAGCACACCCTGCGTCTCAGGCTACTGTGGTTCCCCAACAGCCTAAGTGAGTGAACTCTGGAAACTGCAGCTCCACTCGGGAGCCAAAGCATCCACTCTTGCCACCCTGGCTGGTGTCCTGACAAGCTAGAAACCACTCCTAAAGCAAACAGCACACGAGCACAACACCCAGGCTTAATATTAAAACCAAAACAATAAAAGAACTGCCAGCTATGAGCAGATGGCAGAGGTTAAACAATAATGCAACTCCTCCAATACACAACAAACTTCAAATTGGGGAGATGGTGGCGTCTTCAGAAACCTCCAGAATAGTACGACTCTTAGTGTTGTGTAAGTCATTTGGTCTTTAATACATCTCTTGCCCTCTTTACAACCTCCACCATTTCCACACATGGCTGTCCTAACCCAACATGACTTGGGATACATCCAGAAAAGAGCACACTTGCCTAGAAAGTGAGCGTGTCTCAGCCATGTCCACACTACGAAGAGCAGCTGGGCCCCTAGGCAAAGCCGCTCGGAGTTGGGCAGGAGGAACAAGTCTCAGTTCAGGTGGAAGTTTCACAAGCTATGAGCAAGGGGAAAGGCCTATGAAGACTGAGCCCAAATAGGGTTGAGAGCTAAGTTATTCTTGGCTTTGGCTTAAACTGCTCTGACAAGAGATGGAAAGGACCTTTGCTCAAAGCCTGGACGTGACTTCCAGCAGCAAGAAGTGGGGTAATATTCACGTGATCCTTCAAGGAAAGGCCCCTGTGAAGTAAGGCCAAGAAGAGCTAGGGAGCAGATCTCTCAGAGGACCCCAGAGCAGGCCGTGGCCAGCCAGGGGACTGGAGCCGGGCCAGGATGGAAGTCAACTGAGCAAATGGAGCATTCTTCCTCACCACGTCTTCAATCCAGCCTGAGTCTACACAGCCTGGTGGCACAGGATGCCAGGCCCGGCCGCAAGAATGAGGGTTGATGCGTTCATACCCCAAAATCAAACTGAAAAGCAGGCCACACCTTCTATCTACTCAAGTCCTTCACGAGCAGAGATGAAAGAGGTCTGTGCTAACTGCCTGGATATGCTGCTCATCTTAATTGTGAAATTCACACCATGTTAGGGTTAGAGAAGTAAAAAAATAAACAGGGAATTAAATCCTTTCCATCACTTTACAATAGTTCCTGTGCTCCAGTGTGAGCTTGGGAGGCATGGTCTGCGAGTGGAGTGGGTTAAACACAGGATCTACAGGAGGAGCTGCCCGCAGCGCAGGGCGCAGCACAGCACAGAGCGGCGTGTCCTGACAGCTTGGGATCACCCCGCTGGATTCAGCACACGCCAACAACCTCGCACCAGGTTTTCTTGATCTTGCCTAAACAGGAAGCAATATGAAGTGCCTTGCCCAGCCTCGGGCATCTGTCCCACTTTTCTCACGGACAGCCTTGCTGCTGACTCCCATCTCAGTTACACGTAACTTCCTTGTAACCAAAAGTTACTATTTCGTAAAGTCTGGCAGCGGTAATCTGTGAGGGAAATACCCTGGGGATGGGTGCTCCCCCTCCCCCCACTAAGGCCTCCCGTGCTAGACAAGTGCTCTGCCGCTGTGCTGCGCAGCACCCAGGGCTGCCCCACTCCCACTGAAGCTCTCACCAGGTTGCTCAGGCTGCCCTTGGATTTTTCAATCCTGTCTCTGGCTCCGGAATGTAGGGGTTATAGGCTTGTACTGCACGCCTGGCCTCAAGGTTGCTTTTGGAAGAGTGGTCATCCCGCTTCTACACCTGTTATTTAAAACACTCCGGGGTGCTTTGTTGGTGTGGCACACACGTGGAGAAGCAAAGTGCTCAGCACGCCAGGACACTCAACAGCTAGCCAGTAGAGGTGGCAAGTCTGCGGACACTGAAAACCCTAATATTTACAATCAAGAGAGAACCTGTCCTGCTGACATCTTCCATTCAGCTGCACTAGACCTGAACAGAGAGGCCCGTCCAGATGCCAGTCTGGCCAGACAGAACGCTGTCCAGGGACCGTGCAGAGAGGCTGACTGCTGGGCAGCATGCAGCCACCCAGGTCGCATCGAGGAAGTGCTGGCAAGGGTTCAGAATGCTCACTTTGTACTTGGGGTCAAAAGGCTCCAGCTGCCACGAGAGGCGGAGGGGACCTGGGAGGTGCTTTCAGTCCCTGTGTCTGACAGCTACAATCTAATTCTGTAAAACAGTCATCACAAGAGAACCCAGGGTCCACAGGAGTCCGCAGACCCCACCACGGACCAGAGCCGGCGGGCCCCGGCTCCCTGTCAGGCAGCTCCTGACTAGGGTCACACACTAGGGCCACCGCTCCCACTTGGGGACAATGTCTGTCAGCCTCGTTCTGTTCATGGGAATTGAATGCAACACCACCAGGGGGCCTCCTCTTCCCGACACGGTGATTGTCTCCTGACCCCTAGTAATTTTCTCAGAAATTATCAGCATTTCAGCAAAAGACATATAATTTTCCATTTGCCCTGCCCACAGGCAAGATGTTGCTAACAGTACAAAATCTGGTAAGAAGTGCTTAGAAAGTGCTAATATTATTATTATTACCCTGGTAATTAGTAGCTATTAATTCCAAGGAAAAAATTTAAATATATTTACACACATACTGTTCTCTTAGGTTCTTTTAGTTTGCTTTAATACTAGTCTCTAATATTATAAAACCTCACTTTTGTTTTTGCCCTTTGAGAATTTCTAAATACAAATTGAGTTAAAAGATTGTTCCAAAATCTGCTTCATCAAAAGGCATTAAAACATTGCTTGTGGCCGGAAAGGACCCTACTAGTCTCTTAGCCGCTATTGTCTCCGACGGACGGGTGAGGGGCAGCAAGGCAGGAAGGCGAATACCCTGGAAGTATTTGCACATACCAAGATAGGCCTACTTTACTCCCCTGTGTCTGCACGGTCCTGGCAGGGCTCTTGCCTGGGCAGCAGGTGCGGTGGGCACTATAGGCTGGCTCCGGTGATCTGGCCGTTATACTCTGCCGTCTCCATCTTGAGGATGTATGGGATTATGCTGTCTATTGAAACGTTGCCAATGAGACCGGTAAAGAAAAGCTCTTCTGTTATGTTGGAGCTCATGAGCCTGAGTGCTGGTAGGCGGACGAGAATCCGGGCCAAGCTGGAAGAAGGAAGAGCATTAGAAAACTGGAGCGGCTGCTTCCAGCTGTGGCACACTTGGGTTCTGGGAACCCGGTCTGAACTGCACAGAACAGACACAAACAGCATCTACCCTTGTTCTTGGTTTTCTGATTTCAACAGTTCTTCCCCAACCTCGCACAAAGATGGATGTACAAATGTATTCTCCTCAGTTTGTGTACTTTCTCCATCCCATCCACAGAAAAAAAAGAAAAAAAAAAAAGAAAGGAAAAAGGGCTGGGAAGGTGGCTCAGTGGTAGAGTGCTTGCTTTGCATGCATGAAGTCCTGGTTTTGATTTCTCAGTACCACATACGCAGAAAAAGCCAGAAGTGGTGCTGTGGCTCAAGTGGTAGAGTGCTAGCCTTGAGCTGAAGGGCTGAGGGACAGCGTCCAGGCCCAGGGTTCAGGCCCATGACCAACAAAAGAAAAACAAAAAACGAAAAAACTTGGAAACTCATCAACAGATGATAGGCTAAAGTATGGTGTCCTCATAGAATGGACAACTACATGCTCATTAAAAGGATAATGTCAGGTGTGGTGCTGTAATGCCAGCAGCTGGGAAGTTGAGGTAGGAAGATTGGGAGTTCAAACCCAGCCTGGGCTACCCTGTTGTAAAATAAATAAAAGGAAGAAGGTAAAAATCTGCACGAACTGATAAACAACAAAAATGGAAAAGAAGGCAGTGATGCTTCTGCAGGAGTAGCAGAGTGTGTGGAAGGTGGGAAGCAGTAAGAAAGTTTCTGCTTTGGTGACCGGACCCCCCCCCCAAAAAAAAGAAAGTTTCTGCTTTATAGATGCCCTGGGGGGAGGGGGGAGGCGAACCTCCCTCCTGCCTTGGAGAGCTGTGGATGTGACCCACAGTATCCCACACAACCTGGCTGTCCCTCACCTAGGAGCCCCCCTGGGGATAAGAAAGTGGCGTGGGCCAGAGCGCTGCTGCTGTGGTGCTGGGAGCTGCAGCCCAACTACGTCCACCCCACCTCGACGTGAGGGGTGGTGGTGTGAGAGCACGCACGCTCCTTTCAGATGACGTGAAGGCTACAAAACCTAGCGCTTCAGATCCCGGCTACAAGTAGGTCAGTAATTTCTGGAAGTAAAATGTTATTTCCTACAGTGCCTAGAACAGTCCTTACAAGGAGTACTTAGTCTTTTGACACTAGTACCGTCCCATTCACTCAGCCACCACGTGACCTTGGTCCAATCCTGCAGGGCATGCAAGGTGGAAAGGGTACCACCACCAACTGTGGGAGCAGAACAGGCTAAAAGGGCACAGGCGGTATGAGGGCAAACCGGGAGGACTTCCTGGAGGCTCTTGCATGGCCTCAGAGGATGTGGCAAGGTTCCCATTGGCACAGGTGCCAAGAATGGGGAGGTACAGACTGCATTACAGGCAAAAGGACAGAGAAGGCTGAAAATGAATGTGCAAAGAGTGTGTGCTCTATTCGAGGGCCCGGGGGGGGGGGCGGCACTGAGTGAGTTTGAGGCCTGTAACAAAGCTTCCTTGTTTTTTGACTCTTAATCACACATTGCTTCCACTGGAAATACGAAACATCTTCCCAAGGCCAGAGTTGCCGAGGTTAAGGAAGGGCTCTGCCCACGCGCTCGGCTGGCTGTGGCACAGGGAGAGACCCACTCGGCAATCATTCTCACTTGGCGCAGTGAGGGATGGCGCTCCGTCAGGACTCAGCTCCCTCACACACCAGACAGATGGCTGGAACTGACCTTGTCCTGCCTGAGGGGCAAAAGAAGCCAGCTTGGGGCATCTGTGGGCTTTGGGCATGCAACAGAACGAGTTCTATGCATGAGATGCAGTCTGCGGAAGGCAGGGACCTGACTCTTGGGACTCTTAATTTTGCTAATTTGGGGGAGGGAGCTAGGGACACACACGGCATAAATCGCGTGACAGGGCAGCAGAAACTCCTGCAGCTGCCCGCTGGATCCAGATCAGGACACACTGCTTCTGGGCAGACACGCACAACCTTGCTCTTCAAACACATACATGAGTGCGGACTTACTGTTACATAAACATCCACTGTTCTAATACTGCTAATTAATGTTCACCCAAATAAAGGGACTGAAAGAAAATCAGTGCATCTGAGGGTAAAAGCATTATCTCCCACAACTCACCCCTCCCTTCTAGGGGTCAGACTGGTTTCTGCCAGTGGGAAGGTGGCTGTGGAGAACTTTCCCGTTGCTGCTCTTCAGCGATGGGGGAAGAGGACACACCTTTCTCCCTTCTGGAAGGGAGATTCTCCAGGAGTCTCATGGGCAGTGCTAGCCCCAGAGAGACCACCTGGCACACACCCCCTAATCTAGTCAGAGGTCCCTGAGGCCTGGCCACACTCACACAGAACAGGAGCGGCCAGCAGAGTGCCCACCGGCCCAGCATTTCCACACACTAGCCCGTCCTTGCCTTGTGTAAGAGAGCAGTTTCTGCCAGGCTGCTCTGTAGAAACAGGAAGGGTGGCACAATTCCTATTTCAGCCTCCAAACCCTCGCCCCACTTGCCCCGGCCTGTCCAGGGGAGCCCCGGGCCTCACCGGTAGGTGTCTTCTGAGTAGGTCTTCTGCACGTAGTCCTGCAGCTCCATCTGTGCCTTCTCCTGGAACTTTTCAATCTGGCTTGTGCCTGTCAAACCTGGATGGTCTATAAACAGAAAAGTCCCCTAAATTCCCCTCTGCATTTAAGTCTCAACTTCAGACTTCTTAGTTATTTATTTTTAGTCAAGCTCCTGACAAACTCCTTCAGTGCAGCAGAGTGGGAGGCGAGAATTCCGTCAGCACTGGCTCTGCTCTGCCTCCCCCAAGGCCGAACGTTTCCAGGACAGGGCGGGCTCCTGAGTGGCCCCGTGGGTTGGTTCTACAGTTTGCTTCCTATTACACTAGCAAACAGATTTTAAAATTACCTACCATTAGAAATGATTGTTTTAATTACAGTTTCTCCCAGTTTTATTAGTTACTTTTGTTGTCTGTGGGTGGAAGGTAGGAGGAAGAGAAAGGTTGCGCTGTGTCTGACCCTTCTGCTGAGGACAGTGGACAGGTCAGTCTGAGCGAGAATCACTGCAGGGAGGGCGCTGAGCCAGGCCGGCCAGGTGCCGTTAGCTTCTCACCTACAGACCATGCTGCCGCCGCCTCTTTAACTGCCATGACTGCAGACTGCAGCTGTCAGGGTAGCCTGCCGTACTGTTGGACCCAGAGGCTGAGTAAGCCCATGATTATGCTACCAGAACCTAGCACCTGGCTAGGCATCGAGAGGGATCGAGGACCAGAGAAAGACAGAAAAGGAGTGTGGGCTTCCCATGTGGAGCATTCAGTGTGGACATCACGGGGCACCGCAGTGCTTTCTCCTTCAGGCTGCAAGGCAAAGATTTAACAGAAAGTTTGTGCTGCTTAGTTAGCAAAGCAGTCAGCCAGGCTCGCCGCACCCTGACGACGTCATGATCGTGTTCAGTACTAGCAGCAGACACAGTGAAAAAGTGTCACAAGTACCCACCGCATATCTTACCGGGGCTAAAGAGAACTATAGCTTTAAGGTATGCGTACTCGTAGCCGTCTATATCCAGCTTTGCCATGCTGTTGCAGAATTCCTGCAGCTTCCAGATGTGCTCCATGACTTGCTTGATCCGATCCCCAGAAAGTTTATCTACAATTAAGAGCACAGAGCGCTGAGAACTGACAAGCATAGTAAATCCAACTTCACTGACGGGGCCGCGCAGGCAAGATGGGAGATGCTTGCACTTTCTTTTTCCCCTCAGTGGTGGGTCTTGAACTCTGGGCAGCCCAGAGGCTCTGTCCCTCAGCTCTTCAGCTCAAGGCGAGTGCTCTACCACGTGAGCCACAGTGCCACTTCCAGTTTTCTGGTGGTTTATTCTGGAAATAAGAGTCTCACGGACTTTCCTGCCTGTGCTGCCTTTGAACCGTGACCCTGAGATCTCAAGCCTCAAGTTTGGCAATGTTACTCAGTTTGCATTACTACACAATTGCACCTGCAGAGCTCTGCAGTGGTTGCAAGCGCTCAGAAGGGTCAGCCATTTGTGATTGTCCCCCAACGATGCTGCCAGCTGACTGGGAATATCTGCTTCCCGTTCTTCTCACCTGAGTGCTACTGATTCCAGCTTTTATGGCTACACTCTACTGAACCTGAGGAGTAAGTTGAACCTCTACTTATGGCACTCTGTTAAAGTTTTGAGAACCAGACCTCAGTTGTTTGGGACTCAACCACAGTTCATCCATTACTATGGATGGCAGAGCTCAAGCCCCAGTGCTAGCACACAAAATAAGAGCAGTCTGGCAGAAACTCAAATGCTCCGACTAGAAACAGTTCCCATGACTTCCTCCAGCTCCTACTGGCCTGTGGATATGGCAGGACACTGAAGTTGCCATCTGCTATGTTGGCAGCCTTGATCAACACAGGTAAAGCTTTGGTAGAGGGTTCCAGCCAGGGCTGTGCCCTGCCTGGTGGGCGCAAGGCTGAACCCAGACACTCCATCCCTCGATCCCCAGCCTACCTTCCTGGATGCTGTTCTGCAGGTGGTTGACGATGGCGGCCAGGATGGTGGAGAGACTCATGACCTGGGCGCACTGGGCCAGGCCGAGGGTGAAGAGCTCGTTCCAGCAGGCCCGCACCAGGCTGGTGTTGCAGTCCTGCCTGAGGACACAAGGGAGAGGCTGAGTGTGGCGTGCGGCACTCGTGGAGGTGGCCATACCGGCACTGCTCACACAGCAGCTGGCAAGGGGTGTGGCGAAGACTCTTCTCCCCAAAACGGCCAGCCTAAGTATTTCCACTGAGGCTCCTCTGACCGACCATAAACTATTCTTCCTCTTAAAAAAAGAAGAAGACTTGTGTGATGAGAAGACTGCAAAGGAAGGAATGGCCACATCCCGGTTTCTTACAGCATCCTAAGCCCTGAGCAGTGTGGCTTGGCTGTCCCATGAGCTAGGCGTCTGGGAAGGAGGGCCTACAGCCAAGTCACGAGAGGCTGCCCGGATCAAAGGACAGGCTTAGCGTGGACTCAGGAACACCTGCCAACTCTGGTGGGCAGGGAGCAAACAGCTGGAAGTGGACTGCGGGAACTGGACGCTACTCTACCTGCAGCCATCTCTGGGTCAACCTACTCAGGAAGGGTTAGCCTGGGGGACACAGCCATATTCTGCAAGCTGCCAGACACAGCAGCTCTGGCTGCATCAGGCTGCCTGCCTGCCTGCCTGCCTGCAGGGAGAACTGGACGCAAGTGCTCTGCATTTTGTTAGGACCATAACCCTGACCACAAACTATAAAAGATGTATGTGCAATAGAATAAAGAGAGCTGATTATGGAATCGTAACCCATTTGTACAATTCCTTAATAACAGCAGCCAGGCTCTAGTGGCTCATACCTATAATCTAGCTACTGAGGAGGCTCCAAGGATCATGATTCAAAGCCAGCCCAGGCAGGAAAGTTTACGAGACTCTTATCTCCAACTAAGCACCAAAAAACACCAGAAGTGGAGCTGTGGCTCAAGTGATAAGAGTGCTAGCCTTGAACAAATAAAGCTCAGGGACAGCACCTAGGCCCTTCGTTCAAGCCCCAGGACCGATACAGAAATAATAACAAAAAAAAAGCTGAAATATGCTAGCATATTTAATCTAGACTGAGCTATGAAAACCTGTCCAAGATTCCAAATTGCTCTAATAGAACAATGGTGCCTCCATGCTTAACCTCCCAGCCAACAGTCTCATTTCCCCAGTGATGCTGACCACTGCGGGCTATTAACAGGAGCCCACGTCACAGCACTGATCAGGCGGGAGAAAGTGTGGCCGCTGCTCTTAAGGGTTCATAGCAGATTTGAATTTACAACACTTCTTTAGCAGCCACTGTCTAGTTTTCCCAGAATACAAGCCAACTCTGCCACCTACCCTCCCTGCCCAGTACTGGGTCCTGGGCATGCTTGGAAACTTCCTACCATTTCAGCTATGCCCCTAACCCTTTTGTTTCTATTTTTCTTTGGGCTAGCCTCAGACTCACAATCCTACTACCTCTGTCTCCCTAGTAGGTGGGACTAGGGGCATGTCCCCCTGTAGCTGGCTTCCATTTCCCCTTTATCCATGCTTGGAGTGTGGCGACGGCTCTACCACACAGAACATGAACCATAGCATGATCTGGCCCACCAGCGCCACCTACCTCTCCCGAGCACTCTCAATGCAGTACTGGTAAAAGCTTTATGGACTTAACCCACTGCAAGGATTCTATGGGGAAGAAGTTGAAGGCTGTGAGAAATGAAGTGCTTGCGAACTATTCTCATGGACATACACCCGGCTCTGCCTGCCCCAAGGTGGGGCCTGGTGTTCCTCTGGTGTTTTCTGTACGCTACTGAGGGCCAACTCCCCAGTATGTCCTCTGAGTTCCAGGTGGCTGCTGTCTTCCAGCCAGGCTGAGAGCCAGCATGGCAGCTTCACTGACTAGGTGCTGGGACTGCGGGAGAAACATGACTGAAACACACAGTCACGTTCAACAAGCAAACGCAAAAGGATTTCCAGCCCAGAAGATGCTGGTCAACATGCCACTGTGGTAAGGTGCTGACACAGCTGTCAGCTGGGCTTCCATAAAGGTTAGCTACACCACAGTTCCCGGCTTCTGGTCTACTGAGTACATTTAACAGGACACTCGGGGTATTGAATGAGTCATAGGAACAGTCAACTACACGGACCCTCAGAGACCTCTGCACCACTCTTCTACGCAAGGACATATGGGAGACAAAAGCCGCGTACCCGAGGGCCTGAAAGGCCGGGATGGACCGCGCCCAGTGCATGGAGAGGAAGAGCAGGCGGGATGCAGACTCACAGATGTAGTGCACATTGAGGTACTCCGGCATCGGGCTGGGCATAGTCAGCTGGAAAAGAGGAGACAGGACACAGGAGGTGAAGGAGGGCCAGGGGGTGGCTCTGTCAACATTCATCCCAGTGACAGCCAAGGTCACTACCTGATTTTCAAGCCCACATGGGTCTATCCTCAGTGTAGGGCATGGCCAGACAGGAGGACTGGCAGCGCTGCATCATTTCTTGCTCAGTGACTCAGGGTTGGGAAGCCTGAGGGTAAAGGCCAGCTTCCCATTCCAAAACCATCTTTGTGGCTCTGTCAATATGACCCTGCCATGGCTTCTATTCCACTTCGATCCCTAGGTCTAAGAGGGAGCAGGGCACAGGCTTCACCCTCACAGCTGGCAGGTGTTACTTGATCACCTGAGAGGACCATGGGAGGGTGCTGAACAGGCCTCTTTGCTGGAGGACGTCCTATCGTTAGGATGCCAAGGACTCCAGTGCCTTTGAAGCTCGAATCCTACTGGTGAGCAAGCGGAGACAGGAAGACCCACTCCGGACAGGAAACCAAGAGGGTCCAGTCTCTAGGGAGACAGAGTCGACTGGAAGACCTGCTAGCCCTCTCTGGTCTGCCTTCTGCAGCTCTAGGGGGCAATGTGGTCAGCACCAGTGGCTGGCTGCCTGCTTGCCAAAGAGTTCCTGCAAGGGCTTCTACCCTGTAGGAGACCAAGATGCCCTGAGCCCATGCTGAAGCCAGGCTGCACAGGAAAGGCAGAGGTGGGGCAGCCGTCCTCGGCCCTGCTGGTGAGCACCACGGCAGCCATGTTCGCAATGACAGGCCACACTGCTGGCTTGGAAGATTTCAGAATCAAATGCAGCTGTGAGCAAGAGAAGAGTGGACATACTTCACAATGAGAAGATTCTTTTAGCTGCCAAGAGTTTGAGAATGAGCTCACCTGTGTGCTCTAATTGCCCAGCCCCTGCCTCATGAGACTTCTTCCAGACTTCATTCAAGGACTACCACCAAGGGACAGCTGCTGCCTGCTGCCTTCACGGAGGGGCCCATATCAATGCCTTTTATCCTTAATGTCGATGCCCTTGCCAACAGGAAGTAGCCAGAGAGACTCTGTGTCCTTTTTCATAATTGTGAAAAGGCTGGAATGTAAGTCTGCCCTGGAAAGGTGGGGCAGACTCCTGCCTCCTCTTGGCTAAGTCTCCTTCCAGTATCTGTCACCTAGGTAACTGGCACCTGGAGGCAGTCACCTCCCCCTCCTTCCAGGACACATCCTGGACCGCCTCTGGTCATGCCTCCCATTGGACCATGGGAGGGTCCCAGGCTCAGATCACATCCACATCAACCTTCCCCTACCTAGCCACACCTTCTCTCCACCCCTTCCCTTGTTAAGGCTGGGTAAAACAGCCCTCTGGCATGTTGGACCATATAGTCTCCACCACGCAAGGCAGGGCAGCAGTTCGGTAATAATAAAGCTTCTTCTATTCCTGCCTGAATACTGTGTGGTGTTCTTCATCAGCTACCTAATTAAACCTACCTATTTACCTTACAACCACAAGGTCTGAATTCAGAGAGCAGAGCAGCTGTGGCAGCACATGGCCCCCAGCAGCTGGGGCAGGCAGGGTGCACTCACTCACCTTAAATGTGACGTGCGTATCTGAGAGGAGGGGGCCCTCCACTTCAATGATGGGGGTGGACTGGTCTCTGCTGATGACGTGGATGCTCCCTCCTCCACTGGCATCAATGCCGTCTGCCAGGCTTGGTGGGGAGGAGCTGTCTGTGGTATTAAGTGCTTTAGCTAACGTATCAAATGCCCTGTTGGCGAAAACCAAGCACATGAACAGCAAGTGAGAGAGGACAGCAGCTGCTGGGCTATCGTTTGGAAAGGCCACGTGCTGAGGAGAGGGGAATTCAATTCTCCCTGTGGAGGGAGGGCCGACCAGGGCAGCGTCAGTCATTATCATCTGAGGAACTGAGCATGCACATTTATCTTAACATGTGAGTTCTGTCTCCTTGCAGCCGCCCTCTAAAGATAGAGATTTTCTCCATTTATTAGTGTGAATGCTGAGGCTTTACAATTATGTCAAATAACTTTTCCAGGGCCATCTGAATAGTAAGCAGAACAAAAATTCTGCCTTATTTGAATCCTATCCTCTTTTCTCTGGACTAAGAGCTGGGTTTTGCAGGCAGACTGCAAGTGAACAGTGAAAGTGGGCACAGGAGCCCTCGGATGGTCCTCAGGTGACTGAGTTAACTGTCTTCAAAGTAAGGCCCGGGGTGGCAGAAAACCACCTGATGGCCAGGCTGCACCAAAGGCAGTTCTCCGTCAACACATGTGAAGCTAGCTCTCAACTCACCACTCAAAAAAATAGAGCAGGACACTGGTGGCTCATGTCTATCATCCTAGCTATGCAGGAAGCTGAGATCTGAGAATCGTGTTTCGAAGCCAGCCCAGACAGGAAAGTCTATGAGACTCTTATTTCCAATTAACTACCAGAAAACCAGAAGTGGAGTTGTGGCTCCAAGTGGTAGAATGCTAGCCTCAAGCAATAAAAGCTCAGGGACAGTGCCCATATCCTGAGTTCAAGACCCACAAAAAGTAGACCTGAGAAATCAGGCTAAAACAGAAGCAAGGTCTGAATCCAAAAGGTGATGAACTATTACTATGGAGGTGCATTAAATACTGGTCAATAAAACAGAATAAACCATCTGTCCACCAAAAGTGTGTTACTTCCTGCAGAATGAAAAGCAAGTTTTCTGCACATTTTATATCACATAATGTGTGCGCGCGTGCATGCATGTATATATGTATATACATATAAATGTACACATATACATTTATAGTGTGCGCGCACACATGTATTCACACACGTGCACACACATGCATACACGTGTGTATGAATATACACACGTGCACAAACTATATACGTGCATATACACACCCAAACACAAGTACACACACACACAGTGTGAAAACACCCAGGCGCACAGCTAGCTGAGGACTGCCTGAGGCTCCTGTTCTCACGTTCACTTGTATCTCTCTATTGCTGGTTAAAATGGAAGGAAGACAGATGTGCAGGATCACTGTGACAACTTTACAGTCCTTGATTAAACACAAGATGTAGGGCTGGGGTCAGAGCTCACTTGTTTAGCACGTTAAGACCTGAGTTTAAGTTCCAGAACCAAATGAAACAAAACATATAAACCAGATCGGTGCCAAAATGTAGTGCCTGCCACTCCTCCCCCCACTTTGTAACTGTGACTGCGTATAAGGAGTCTGAGGGCTCTTACCGAGTAATCTCACTTGCAGACTGGTCTTCTGGCTGGATTTCTGAAGTGTCACCATTATTCAAAGATTCACTTAGGTTGGCAAGGGAGGTTACCACATTTGCCAGTGTACCCAAAGCCCCTTGGCTCGTTTCAGCCTATTAATATGAAAAATAGTAACATTAATGATGAATACATATACCACATGACTCACAGGTCTAAGGTATGAACACACAGAGGGCCCAGGGCAATAGGATCAGTTTTCTATATCCTGGTTATGGCTGATGTCACATAAATCCACAGGTACTTAAGACACAGAAAATGGATAAACTGGTCTTTGCTAATCAAAACTTCTATGCAGGAAGTGGCACCGTGGCTCAAGTGGTAGAATGCTAGCTTTGAGCTGAAGAGCACAGGGACAGTGCCCAGGCCCAGAGTTCAAGCCCCATGACTGACCAGAAAAAAAGAAAAACAAAAACTTCTACGCACCAAAAGGTATTAAGAAAGTAGTAGCTGAGGTGCCGGTGGCTCAGCCTGTAATCCTAGCTACTCAGGAGGCTGAGAACTGAGGATCACGGTTCAAGACCAACCAAGGCAGGAAAATCTGTGAGACTCTTGTCTCCAAGTAACCACCAGAAAACTGAAAGTGGCACTGTAGGCTCAAGGTGGTAGAGCACTAGCCTTGAGCAAAAAGCTCAGGGCCATGCCCAGACCTTGAGTTCAAGCCCCATGGCCAACAAAAAAAGAAAGGAGTAATAAAAGACAACTCACAAAATGGGAGACAATGTACGGAAGTCACATATGCAACGAGGGCGTAGTAGCCCAGAATATCTAAAAAAAGCCCTTACAATTCAACAATAAAAAGAACTCCACTGGGGGCAAAAAAAGAACAAAGGATATGAAAAGACACACAGGTGGCCAATAAGCACAAGAAAGAAGTTTGGTATCACTGGCAATGCAAGTCTAAACCTGGGACTAGATCTACTTCACACCCACTGGGCGGTTATAAATCCTAAAGACAGGGCCAAGCACTGGCACCGAAGTGTGAAGTAAGAGCTAAGGCATTGCTGGTGAGACCAGAAACTGAAGAAGGAAAGAAAAAGAATCTGGTAGGTCCTCAAAGTTTAAATGTGAGAGGTGTCATATGACCAGCAATTCCACTCCAAGTAGAAACAACCCAGATGCCCACAAGTTGTCGAGTGGATAGGAGAGCCATGCAATGGCATGGTGTTTGGCAAGGAAAACTAATAAACAACTAGGATGAGTGCCATCATGGGTGGACCTTAAAGATACTGAGCTCAGCGGGGCGCCGGTGGCTCACGCCTATAATCCTAGCAACTCAGGAGGCTGAGATCTGAGAATCGTGGTTCAAAGCCAGCCCGGGCAGAAAAGTACGTGAGACTCTTATCTCCAATAAACCACTCAGAAAACCTGAGTGGCTCTGTGGCTCAAATGGTAGAGTGCTAGCCTTGAGCTGAAGAGCTGAGGAACAGCACCCAGGCCCAGAGTTCAAGCCTCACAACTGACAAAATAATAAAAATAAAAAATAAAAAAGATACTGAGCTCGGTGGCCCATGCACTCTATGACACGTTCAGCACTTGTGAAGCCATGGAGAAAGCTGACTGATGCTTGGCAGGGAAACCATGCTCAGTGGTGCCAGAGCTCCTTTTGAAATGAAGACATCTGGGACTTGGTGATAGTTACAAAGTTATAGAAATATACTAAAAAACACATTCTATATTTCAGGATTGATACTATATGTGAATTGCATTTCAATTAATAAAAAGCTGAAAGCCAGAGGAAATAAACCAAGATTAGCAAACACAAATGTCAGCAAAGTGAAAACCTAAGTCCACCAGAAAGGTCATAACCAGAGCACGGATGAACAAAGCATAGTAGAGTCAGAATATTGTGTCACCACTGTGCTGTGTAGTGCATGCGGAAGGAACTAGAGTCCAAGTCCGAGAATGGGGGAAAGACACACAGAGCAAACAGCACATGCTTTGTGCCCTGGCTGCGACACCGCAGCCCTGGACCTCTGGTAGCCCCGTACTTATTCCTCAGCAAATTATTTTGAATGTAACCTTTTCAAAGGAAAAAGTTTAACTGCTTCTGAAAATAGCAACCTTTGGGGGCTACGCGTGTACTTTAGTATTGGCAGCAAACTTCTGGGTGGGGATGGAGCTCCATTTCATACAGGAGGGAAAAGCTAGGATGGGAGTCTGGTTCTGCAGCTCTTCCTTTTAAGTACTTACACACAAAATGGCTTTTCTATTCTTTCTCCTGTACCAGTGACAATAACTAGTTAACTTACAGGGTATTCAGCATGTACCAAGTACTTTAAAAACCTAACTGTTTCCTCCCAGCCCTGAAGGAATCAGAGGAGTGGAAGGAGGCTGGTGGCTGTGGAGAGCAGGGCTGGAGAGGTGCCCAGGTCCAGGGGCACAGGAGTCTTGACCTCAGTCTCAGCTTCTGCACGGATGGCTGCTGTGAATCCTTGGGACCCAGGATTGTCCTCAAGGTGATCTACCTATCTTCTCTACCCCTATCACACAGAGCCATGCACCAGCAGGTCTGCTGGGGGGTAGCAGCACTCCAGATGTGACCCAGAAGCCCACACCACTCATTATCATTGCTTAAAGCCCCACCTGAGGACCAACGTGGGCAGGGTAACACTCCATGCCGGCTACAGGGCTCTCAACTTTGCCTTCCTTTTCCCTAAAGAGGATGTCATCTAACACACTTAGTTGGCATGTGGATGTGTGTGTGTGTGCGCGTGTGTGTTGGGGAGAGCAGGTGAGACAGAGGCCTGCAGGGCAGGAGTGGTGTCCACACTGGGTTATGGAATTGCCCTCAAGCACCCCTAGGCAGCCATGGCTGGTTGCTTCTTTCCCATTACTGGGTTCCCATTACTGATTGGTAGGAACAGAACAAGATGCAGCTTCAGCTGCAATAGGCCTAGCGAGGTGGGGCCAGCAAAAAAGAGAGGCTGCACTGTCACACAGAAGAGGAGGAGAAGCAGGAGGAAAGAACATCACCTTGGAGTCCGCGGCCAGCAGAACAGTACCATCCTCACGTATCAAAGGCTGCTGGATGTTCACAAGCATTCCTGGATCAAGAAGACCTGTTTGTCTATTTAAGACATAAAGAAACCCAGAGTAGCTTCTAACGTGTACATACAGAACAGTCATGCTGTGTTTGCCTGTCCTTCCACATGTGCGCAGCTGCCTGCTAGGAGAGCAGCTCTAAGTGGATTCAGCCACACGGTAAGTGAGCAACCCTCCTTTCTGGGCAATGAGATGTGCACAGGGTTGGTCTAGAGCTAAGGCAGGATGGACACACGGACACTCCAGGACTCTACACTGTCTGTAACCATTCTGCCAAAAAAGTTACCTTGATTTTCAGAAATTACCCTCAACTAGTTCTGTGACACACTTTGGATTTCTGATTTCCCCTCTTTTTGTTCCTTTTAAAACAAGCTTAATAGATGACACTAAGAAGATACAAGTTAAATTAACCCATGGCACTGTCTGGGACCTGACCTCACACATCCTCGTTCCTGTCTAGACTGCAGAAAAGCCCAAATCTTGAGTCCCAGACCAGCGTTTTCCTCCTTGGTGAGTGAAGCCTAACCTGGAACAGGCTCAGCAGTGAGACTGGGCAGCTCCAGATGCACAACGCATGCCAGAGCTGCGGTCGTGAGGGCCGAGACACACACCCATCCTCTAAGGATCCCTGCGCTCCCCCTGGGCAGCTCTGAAGATGGATACCAGTGCAACCTGAGACAGCAGACTGACTGACCTTGCTCCATCTTTCTCTGCCACAAACGTGGGAGTGGCTATTAGAGGACTTCTTAGATCCTTCCGGATATAGATCTTCTCAGTTGAAGCAGCACAATTGCTTGGTTTCTCTCGTTGCACATCAAAGGGTTTCCGTTCACTCTGTACAGCTGAAAAATAACAACGTACACATTCACATTTAGCGAGAAGATGGAGATCAGAGCCCTTATGGTCAAGTATGGGCTCTCTGGTGCTCGAGCTGCCTGTCTGCCCCGTTACCACAGTGGGCGTTCCTGCCACAGGAGAGCAGGCTTCGCAGCTGGACAAGGCCCTGGCAGGTCTGAAGGTACACACAGGCACTCGGAACAGCAGGTGCTGCTTGCAAAGGGATGCTCATAAAGAGCTGGCATGAGGGACCTGTGGAAGCCTACCCACAGGGAGCCCACTGGTTGTCATTTCTTCCCCCGGCAAAACAGACTTTGTCCAGAACAAGAAATGTCCATATTCAAGGAGGTTCATCACAGAGATACAGCATGCCACAAATAAATGGTAGAGTACCATTCCAATTTCTAATTCCAGCTAAAGTAGCTTCAGCACACTGATAGTTGTCAATCTATCACATTACCGATTTCTTCCTTAAAAAAAGTGTTGTTGGGGCTGGGAAGGTGGCTCAGTGGTAGAGCGCTTGTCTTGCATGCATGAGGCCCTGGGTTCGATTCCTCAGCACCACATACGCAAAAAGAAAAAAGCTGGAAGTGGCGCTGTGGCTCAAGTGGTAGAGCGCTAGCCTTGAGCTGAAGAGCTGAGGGACAGCACTCATGTCCAGAGTTCAGGCCCCATGACCGGACCCCCCCCCCAAAAAAAAAGAAAATTAAAAAAAAAGCATTGTTGTTTTTTTAAAGAAAGAAGAGATGAAGCTTAGAGACTAAGATTCAGATAAACTGGTAATCAAATGGAAATCTAACTGGATCTTGAGTATGAAATGCCTATGACTGCAGAAACTCCAGTCACTGCTCTGAGTAAGTATTCCCTACTAAGACAAGACAGCTTGGCACCATGGGTCTGTTCCACAGCAAGCCTGTGATGTATTTATTCATTGGAGGAAGTCCAATACGACTAGATAAAACATACAACGGCTGGGCTCTGGTGACTCACACCTGTATATACTAACTAATTAGGAGGCTGAGATCTGAGGATCACAGTTCAAAGCCAACCCAGGAAGGAAAGTCTATGAGAATCTTATCTCCAATAAACTACTCAGGAAAAGCTGGAAGAGAGGCTCAGGCCCTGAGTGCAAGCCCCAGGGCTGCAAAAAGAAAGAAAGAAAGAAAAAAAACCAGACAGAAATTAGGGTGTAATCTAAATTTCTCAAAGGACACACTTCTTCTATTTGTTCTCTAAGAACTCTGCAGCTTTCCATTTTCAGAAGCGGCCCCACCAAGCTGGAGTTCCTCGGTTTGTCTAGGGAACCTGAACTCCCGGGCTGTCAGCCTCACCGCACGCAGGCCCCTGCCATGGCTTGAGAGAACCTCTCTCCTGCACGTCCCTTTGTTGCTAGTCTTGAGGCCAGGGCTCCATGTTTTCAGCACTAGGAAGAGGACTGACCCCGACACTATCTGGTTCCTGTGAAACAGACCTAGTTTTGATCAACTGAGCCTCAGAAATCTGGCTCTGGGAGCTGAGAGGACGGCCTTCAGACCTTGCCTGCTGCCCCGTGCCCGGCTTCCCTCAGAGCCCTCACTGCACTGAGGTTTGGCCGAGGACATGGACTCCTAAGGACACCAGGTTAGAGAAACAAGGGTGGAAGTCTCTCATCTAACTCTGTGGAGCCCTATGTCAGCAAGGCATGGGGGTTTGGGGGTCACAGATGAAGCCGCAGAGCTGAGGTAGCCCATGTGTCCCAGAACTGCCAGCTCTTCAGGATCAGGCTGGGGGATGATACTCTCCCGGCAGTGCTCACCCTGTTCCCCTACACTGCTCCTCCCCCATCCACCGGGGGAAGCATGAGGCTTGACCAAGCCCCAAGTGTCAGCTCAGAATCTCTGGGTGACTTGGAAGGAAAACCCACATGCAGCTGCATGGGTAGTTTTCATATTTTAAGGCTAAATACAAAATCCTTACTAGAACAAGCTCTTGCTCCCTCTTCTCTCCCTTCCTGCTACCTTGTGTGGTGTTCACACTGCTACTCACATTCCATTTTCATGCCCATCTCTAAGCACTTTTTCAGCCGGCAAAATTGACAGCGGTTTCGGTGGTGTTTGTTGATGATGCAGTCTTGGTTGCTCCGGCAGCTGTAGGTCAAATTTTTCCTCACGCTCCTTTTAAAGAAACCTTTGCAGCCTTCACAACTGACAGCCCCATAGTGGCGGCCTGCGGGGAGCAGAGTGTATGGAACAGTTCACGCAAGCAGAGGAGATCTACCCCACGCCCTCTGCGGGGAGCAGAGTGTATGGAACAGTTCACGCAAGCAGAGGAGATCTACCCCACGCCCTCTGACGACCTGGGCTCACACTGCCACAGGTGGCAGTCCCTTGGGGTTAAGCATAATGGCTGCGCTCACCACCTCATTTCTCCATCATCTCCGGAACAGTCTCCTGAAGTCATGATGGAGAAACAAGTCAATGGCATGACCCCCTGTCTCATTGGGGGACCTGGCTGGATTTACAAGAGCCAAAAGTAGGCACAGGCCAGGTGCTGGGGGCTCATGCGATCCGAGGATCATGATTCGAAGCCAGCCTGGGCAGAAAAGTCAGTGAGACTCTTATTTTCAACTTTAACCACAAAAGGCCAGAAGGGAAGCTGTAGCTGAGTGGCAGTGCCAGCCTTGGCACTCGGAGGACCACGGGAGGCTCTGGGTTTCTAAGGCTGCTTTGCAATATGCTTGGTCCAACTGTTGTTCTCCTGGGCTTGAACTCAGGGCCGCCTGCTCTCATCTGGCTTTTTCACTCAAGGCTTGTACTCTACCTCTTGAGCCATGCCTCTACTTCCAGCCATTTGCTAATTAACTAGAGCTAAGAATTAATGGACTTTTCTGCCCAGGATGGCTTTCAGCCTCCTGGGTAGCTAAGATTGTTTAAAAAAAAAACAGAAACCCCATATTCAGGACAACAAAATCTCCACAATTTCTGTGAATTTCTTTGCCTCAGAATAAAGAAGGTCCAAGCAGCTGCGAACTCAGGCCTGTGCCAAACATCACTGGAGCTGTGTTGTTCCCTCATTACTTTCAATAGCCATGCATCTTCTCCATTCTCCCTACACCAAACCCTTTCCATGGAGGTCCATGAGCTCTATCCTAAGGCCTTGGCTCCATTGGCCAGAATGCCCTTCTCCTTCACCAGACATCACAGGCCAACCATAAGGCTCCCGCGGGGCCTGCCTCTGGAGGGCAGTCGTGTTGTAGCAGGGCACCACACCAGGTGTATGGGGAGGAATATGCAAAAGCCCACTTGCGGGATAGCGAAGTGTTGTGTCAGTATAAACTAGATTCTTTCTTAGTAGCACAGTAAACACTACTAGACATTTCACTAAGATTTACAAATTATAGAAATTTTTTTGATTTTTCATACTAATTCTAATAATCTAACAAACTATTTATATCACTATCCCAACAAGAAAAATGAAGTTGATGTTTGAAACCTATAAACCTCCTATGGAAAATGATCTTTCTCTGTTCACTACTGCCCACCCCCAAGTCCAGTTGCTCTGCTGGTCATGACACACCCGAGCCCAGGCTGAGGTGGCATACCAGAGGCTTTGTCGCCGCACACCACACAGTACTCCACCACCTGGGGCCGCTGGACGTCTGTCTTCCCCAACAAACGCTCCACAGAAGCAGAATCTGTGACGATCTAAGGGAAACCAGCAGAATACCAATCAAAACAGAATATCAATCAAAATCTAGCTCTGCTAAAGGCAAGTTTCATTGTAAGTTTGTAGTCTTGAGTTTCTAAACGGAAAATCAGGGAAATGGAAAACCCCAGCTGACAGTTGCACTGACGACCATGGCCTTGCCGCTTTGCCCTTCAGTGAGGTCTTCAGCAATGCCACCTGGCTTCTCTCCCAGGACTGGGACCACGTAAAGATCACACACATGCTCCGAATGAAGACATGTAAGTTCTTCTAGCTGTCTCTCTGGTCCCATCAAACAACTATAGAGTGTGCAAAGGGGCTTCTCTGTCAGAGAAATAACCAGGCTTTAGTAAATACATCTCTAGTTGAGGCCCTTGAGTGGAAGGACCCACAATACATACCCTGCTGTTTGCCATCACCTGTACATGACTTTCTGGGTGACAAGCAGTGCTGCCCATATCAAAATGAGTAAAGAACAACTTATTTAAAAACATACTCCGAAAGGGCACAGGTTGCTCAGGCTTGTAATCCTAGCTATTCAGGAGGCTGAGATCTGAAGATCAAGGGTCAAAGCTAGCCCAGGCAGTAAACTATGCCAAACTAGTCTTTAATTCTTAACTACCCAACAGCACCCAGACCCTGAGTTCAAGCCCCAGGACCAGCAAAAGGCGGGGGGGGGGGGAAGTACTTAGTTTGAGCACATGATAAGCCTTCAAAATGATTCATGCTTGTTGGACCCACATAAATAAAACACTGTGGAACATTGATACCAGCAGCCTTCATAAACCAGGAGGGCCCTGGATGGGTAAGGCTCGGCTTATGAAGCGCAGTACGAGATATCTCAAAAATGTAGTTTTGGGTGCAGTGGTTCATGCCTGAAATCCCAGCTCAAGTGGTAGGATTCCAAGCCTAGCAAGCTCAGAGTTTAAATTAAACCCCGGTACTAGAGAGAGAGAAAAAAATGTACAGTTTTGAAAGCTGAACAGGTGAAAACAAGGCACAGTCATACATGCCTGTAACCCCACCACTAAGGAGGATTGCAAGCTGGAGGCCTTCCTGGGTCACCAAGACTCTGTCTTAAAAGAAAGAGAACTAAAATGTAGTACATGGGTAAAATGAAGCATTATTCAACTTTTTTTTTTTTTTTTTGGTCGGTCGTGGGGCTTGAACTCTGGGCTTGGGCGCTGTCCCTCAGTTCTTCAGCTCAAGGCAAGCACTCTACCACTTGAGCTACAGCGCCACTTCCGGTTTTCTGGTGGGTTTTATTGGAGATAGGAGTCTCACGGTCTCTCCTGCCCGGGCTGGCTTTGAACCGCGATCCTCAGATCTCAGCCTCCTGAGTAGCTAGGATTACAGGCGTGAGCCACCAGCGCCCGGCTGCATTATTCAATTTTTAAAAGGGAGAAAATCCTGAGACGACAACATGAATGAATCTTGTCGACACTGTTAGGTGAAATAAGCTAGTCACAAAAGACAAAACTATTTGATTCCCATTCCACAGAGACACACAATGGCCGTTTGCCAGAGGCCAGAGGGAGGGAGATGAGAAGACTCTTCAGCTGGTAGAGAAAAGTACTTCCGAAGAGCCTTCATTGTGGAGCATTGTGTGTGCATTCTTCATAACTTGTTTAAACAAGTTACAGAGGTGAATACACTTAATGCTACCAACTCCTCTAAAACTAGTTAATACCGCAATTTTATATGACACACAGTTAACCAAAAACTATAAAAAATTTAAACCAAACAGGGACTCAACTTTGACCTGACAAAACGAGCTCCCTGGGACAGTGGTCGTAGGTCTCTGTCCTCTGGCTTTTGGGTTTAGCAATTGACTGCCTCCCCACCTCACACTGAACAGCAGCCTTGCTTTGCTTCCGCATCCTCTCTTCATGCAGATGGACCTGCCTTGCCAAAGGGAGCTGCGGGGAGACAGAAAGGCAGTTCACGGGAGCAAGTAAGACCAGAAGGAAGGGCCAGGACCAAGCCTGAAATCTGGAAAAGAGCTAGATCAACCAGCATGGGCTAAGGGCTGCCACCATAGAACTTTCATTAAGAACAATTATCCTGTGGCCTTTGTTTTTGCCTGTAGGCTGCTGTTCCTTCCTCAACTTGTAACCTTCTGAACATCCCTGCTGATTATCTTCTGGGTCTAGCCAACCCAATAGCTAGAGTTTTACTTTAGTCAAAACAGCATCCTACCATATTTGCAGGCTCCCAAAGGACCTTCCAGGGATGGACCTGGCTACCCAGGTAGGGAGAAAGACAAGTTAGGAGTAAGTCAGGAACCCAAGTGCTGAGACAGGCACCATTTGATGGCCTTACCTGAATCCTGCCGGGAACAAGGTTGTCAGAGGTGGTGAATATGAGCTGCTTGGCACTGGACGTCTCCGGAGAAGCCAGGATCACCTTCCCAGCTCCAGCTCCATCTGGGCTGGTCAGAATGAACTGTTGTTTGGAAGACCCGGAGGCGTCCACTGCGGTTACTATCTGGATCTTCTGTCCTGTCTGCTGGTCTGTCACAATCTGTAAGACACCACACAGAGGAGTATGAGACCCTTGCACTTGTACACAGTGCTGAAGAGCCATGATTACCAAACGACATCCTTGAGCTGATGTTGGTTTCACCCGCATAAGCTGGTGAAAAAACACAAGAGTAAACTTTTTAGGAATGAATTTTTATAGTACTTGTTTTACTCTAAGTTTCTATCTTTGCTATTTTCAGTAATGCTTTCCTTTCATTCCACTTTTTCTGTTAATAGTCATATGAAACCAACCACACTAATGTATCACTTAATGAAGCAAACGTTCTGTGAAATCCGTCACTAGGTGATTTCTGTGCACACATAGTCCTCGCACAAATTAAGAAAGCTACACCACTAGGCAATAATCTCAAGAGACCATTGTAGCATGTGTGGTTCACAGCTGACTGAAGCACTTAACATGGTGCACGACCGTAAAACCAAGGAAAGACGAGGCTAGTCATTCCTTTGCCCACAGTATATGAGGAGCCAAGACTTCTCCTTCATGTGAGCCCCAGTCCTTGTGGTCGAGGCCCTGCAGGTAAGAATTCAAGCAGGAGCGGGAGGGAGGACAGACAAGATCTAGACACAGGCATGCAGTCTTGGCTGTACATAGCACCTCAAGGTCTAGATTATTCTTTATTCTCCAAGGACACAAGTTTATAAAATTCAACCAATCATAATTATTAGTTACTTGTGTTCTCCCTTTTCCTTAGATAGCCTATTTAAGGAGATTACTTGTATAAATACACTAAAATTGAAGGCAGGAGAAGAATATCACTCCCCCTTACTAAAATCACCCTCCAGGAACCAGATGGCGAGCACTCGTAGCAGACTCTTTTCAATGAGGTGGGGAGGACACGGCCAATCCCATTAAAAGTTCAGTCCCCTGGAGGTGGAAAAGAGTGACTGTAAGAACTATATCCCCTCAAGAGACTTACAAGTCTGAATGCTCCAGTTCTGTGTCTGTGACTTTATTTGGAAACAGGGCACTGGCAGATGTAACTAAGGTGGGGTCACCAGATTACAGTCAGTGAGTACACCTCCCCGCTCCATTATACCTGATGCCTGTGGGGTTGATGGGGAGAAGTGGCTACAGGCAAGTAAGGAATGCTAACAGCTGTCCATACTTATGCAAGCTAGGAACAATGTTTTTGAGAACCTAGACAGGGCCCAGCCCTGAAACACCTTGTTTTTAGACATCATTTCACCTCCAGAACTATGAGAGAAAGCTCTTCTGTTGTTTTAAGTTGTTAAGTCTGAGGAACTTGCTATGGCAGATGTAGGAAACACATACAAGAGGTAAGTTTGACTTTCTTGGAACAAATGTTTACCTGCTCTGAACAGGTAGAACACTTGTTGCCAAAAGTTGGCTTTGTCCCAATGTGATTGGTGAACAACTGAGCAAAATCTAAACCTTGAGATTTTTTTTTTTATGTACTATTTCTTCAGTGAGGAGCTCTAGATAAAGACAGAATGGAGTCCTGAGCTTGGCTATGAGTCAAGTTGTACCCACCTGTTGGCGTTTTAGGAACAACGTTTTGCTATAGAAATATGAAATGGTATGGCACGATGTGTGTGACTGCAAGGATAAACAAATGTGGCCTGTACACAAAATGGACTACTACACAGCCAAAACACTGCTAAGCCAAAGAAGACAGGAACCAAGTCACACATTGTGAGTAGGCCCACAAGGATGGAGCCAGGACAGCCTGTCAGAAGTCTGACCAAGGAGAGTGGTACTGTGTGGGGCTCCAGAGCCAGGAGCACTGATCAGGACTTACTGTAGTCTGTGTGGGTCTGTGGACCTGGACAACACAGCAGAGATGTGTACCTAAGAGTGGCACTCTCTGACCACTGGGGCAAGGAAAAGGACAGAGTGGGGAGGCTGAAGGGTAGCTACTAGGAAGTCAGAGCTCTGCACAGGGGAGCCTGGACTGTTGAGTCTACATTCCACCAGGCTATGCCTCTGCACTAAGAAGATGGTGAGAAGATTCCAGCAACCCTCTTACTGCTTTAAATGGCCAACTGCAGCCTACCCTACCCTTTGCTTATATGCAAAGGATGTGTGTTTCCCTGTCTCCATCCAGTAGAATGTCTGCCCTAGGAGGGCAGGGCTAACCTCTGCAGTGTCTCTATGATGATATTCAGTGTGCACTGGCCAAGCTGAGGGGACAGAGCTAGGCCTAGAGCCAAAACCTTCTAAGCAGGCAGTACCTTCACCAGAAGAAGCTGTCAGTTTCTGAAAAGCTCTGTATATGTGTGTACACACTGGCACTAGAGTTTGAACTCTAGGCCTTGCACTCTTACTTGGCTTTTTTTGTTCACAGCTAACATTCTCCCTCCATTTTTTTCACCCAAGGCTGGTGCTCTATCATTTGAGCCATACCTCTAGTTCCACTTTTTGCTGATAAATTGGAGATAAGAGTCTCTTGAGATTGTCTGCCCAGGCTGGCTTTGAACCTCAATCCTCAGATTGTGGTAACTACGCTCCTACTTCTCCCTAGCTTATCCAGGCTCCTCCTTACCTTCTGTCTCAGGACCCATCTGTCCCCACAGTCCATCTGCTTCTGCCATTCCATTCAATGGCCACACGACGTAAGATGTTGTGGCACAGAATACTGGCCCCTCCAGACCTCCTGCCTACTCCCCCAAAACAAAAGTCAGATTTTGTGTTGCCATTTATATGGAATTCCGTAAGACAAAATGGTCGTTTCTAGGGAGCCAGGGAAATGGCAATGTTTTGGAGCTAGATATAGGTTGTGGTCGTAAATTGCAAATCTACTAAATACCACAAACTGTACTTCAAAATGGTTTACATTCTGTATTTCACTAAAATTAGGTGCCATTTATAGATGGGACTTAAGAGTAGTTAAAAATGTATATAATAAACTACAGGGTACAAATGAAAACATTTTAAAAGAAGCATATATATATATATTTTTGGGGGGGTCAGTTGTGGGGCTTGAACTCTGGGCCTGAGCGCTGTCCCTCAGCTCTTCAGCTCAAGCCTAGTGCTCTACCACGAGCTACAGTGCCACTTCCAGTTTTCTGGTGGTTTATTGGAGATAAGAGTTTCATGGACTTTCCTGCCCGTTCTGGCTTTGAATTGCAATCCTCAGATCTCAGCTTCCTGGGTAGCTAGGATTATGGGTATGAGCCACCGGCGCCCGGCCAAGTCAAAATGTTTCTTTTAAGACAGTTGCCAGTGGCTCACACCTGTGGCTCATGCCTGTAATCCTAGCTATTCAGGAGGCTGAGATCTGAGGATCACAGTTCAAAGCCAAGCCAGGGCAGGAAAGTCCATGGGAATCTTATTTCCTAAGTAGCCAGGATTACAGGCATAAGCCACAGGCATGAGCCCCTGGCAACTGTCTTAAAAGAAACATTTTGACTTGGCCGGGTGCCGGTGGCTCATGCCCATAATCCTAGCTACTCAGGAGGCTGAGATCTGAGGATCGTGGTTCAAAGCCAGAACGGGCAGGAAAGTCTGTAAAACTCATCTCCAATAAACCACCAGAAAACTGAAAGTGGCGCTGTAGCTCAAGTGGTAGAGCACTAGCCTTGAGCTGAAGAGCTGAGAGACAATGCCCAAGCCCAGAGTTCAAGCCCCAGGACCAACAACAAAAAAGAAACATTTTGACTATACCACAAGACGAGATAAAGAGAATCACAAAAGTAAAAAGCTCAGTCAATACCAGAGAGAGCTGAAAGAAAATCCTTTGATGGAAAGAGTCACAAATTGGTGATATTAATCCAAATATATCAATCACCATTTTCTTTTTTCTTATTTTTTAGGTCCAAGACCAGAACTCGAATTCAGTACCTGATGCTTTCACTCATTGGCTAGCTCTCTACCTACCAACTGAGCCACTCCTCCAACTCCTCAATCATCATGTTAAATGTGAAAAAGCTATGTATAGACATTAAAAGACAGAGGTTACTAGTTAGGTAACAAAAAAAAGACCTAATTTATATTGCCTAGAGAAAGCCCACAGATAAAAGACAGAAGATTAAAGGGATGAAGAAAGATGAACAATGTAAACATCAATCAAAAGAAAGGTGAAAGATCAGGTACACTGGCTCATAATGCCTGTTATTCCAGCTACCTGAGGGGCAGAGTGAGGAGGATAGCTAGGCAAAAAAGGTAGCCATACCCTCTCTCAAAGAACAAACTAGGTGTGGGTTCAAGAGAAAGAGAGATATCTAATTTACACTATATAGAACTAGTGCCAGATAGTTACTAATAGTTAATACTGGTAAGATGCATAGACTATTGATGCCTGTGTAAGAAAGAATATATGTGTGTGCTTCCAGACTTACAAGCAAAGCCCTTCTCTGAAATAAGCAACATAGTGATAGTGACCCCTTGTGGGATGAGGGGGACCCGTTTTTCCACTGCCTCACTTGCTGTAAATTTTGTTACAGCATGTATATACTGCCCATTCAGTGCACACAGATAAGTATCAATTCCTCTGACTCTTGGGAGACATTGCGGACTATTAAGAGAAAAGAAACATTATCAATTTGGAAACATGGAAAGAGTAAAAAACTTCTGAAACAAACAATTCAAAGAAATTACCCAGTGACCCTTATTACACTTTTACAGCTTAAACTCTGAAACTGGATCAGTTTAGTAGCACTTAGGCACATCCAATTTTATTCACAGGCCACAATGGAAAGGTTTTCAACTATATTTATTATACATAAAACCTACTCCAAAAGGTTATCTTTCCTTAATGTGAGAGCTTAATCCTAAGGACTTGGGTTATAAGAGCCCTGTTCAAGGGATCTCTGCACTCCAGCAGGACAGCAGTGAGTGCCGTGCATAGAACAGCCCTAGTGGATAGATAAAATGGGGTAGTAGAATGGCCCCTAGGGAAACAGAATTCTTATGATACAAAGGAATGTGTATTCTCTCCTGAAATACACAATAGAAAATCTAGTGACTAGATACCAAGAGTCTCCCATGGCAACCACTGGGTCCTTGTCTGCAATCATAACCTGCCTGTCTGGTGGTTTATGTTGTGATTCTAGCTACTTGAGAAGTAGAGATTGGAAGGATCAGGATCTAAGGTTAGTCCTGGGCAAAAACATGAGACCCTACTTTAAAAAAAAAAATCACTAAAAGCAAAAATGGGCCGAGGCTCGTCTCAAGTGGTGGAGTACCTTCCTAGCAAGCGCGAAGGCCTGAATTCAGATCCCAGTATGCAAGTAAAAAAAGTGGAGAGGAAAGGAAATAATTTTACTAATGAATAGCAAGCTCCTTTCTAAGGCTGGAAGTGTTATGTAATCAGTATCCTAACACCTACCACACGCAACCACACAGGACCTACTTTCAACTCATTAGCAAATAGGAACAAAGTAGGTAAAGACAGCCAAGATGGCCGAGATGGCCTGAAGTGGGGTTCCCCACGGTGTGTGTCCATGTCATATGTTCTTTGTCATCGTCTTTTCTAATCAACTTCTATCAGCTTTACTTAACAAAGAAAAAAAGGAAAAAAAATAACAGCTTTATAATGATCCTCATTTGGGAGAATGGTAAAAGCTCATTAATGTTTTCTCAAATTTCACACATTTAAACACATGTTATTTTTGAACTGGAGTAAAGTTAAAATAATAACAACTACATGACTTCTGCTTTATGTGTATGTGTGTCTGTGTGTGTGATATGCAGGAAACAACTTTAAAAACTCGTTTCATTTTACTTATTAGAAGTCTTCTAGCTTAGGATAGTCCAAAAAAAAGTATCAGATACTTTATTTTCTAGTAACTACATAACGGTTTCACTCATACTTCATTTAGATTAACTAAATAAAGGCAATCTTGTTATTTATTCCCTGGATGTCTCTCTTCTTGGTTATATTTCATACTTGTGCTATGTAACTAATTTTCTTTTTCTGCTGTTCATCTTCGTTCATGTCTTTTGGCTTCGCCGTAGACTGAGCTTGCTCTAGTAAAAAAGTGAGTCTCTGAGCTTTCATCATATTTTTCCTTTCCCTCACTGTGCAGCCCACAAGTTTAATGTACATGACATTTCTTTGTTCAAAAGGGTAGAAAAGGGCTGGGAATATGGCTTAATGGTAGAGCGCTTGCCTTGCATGCATGGGGCCCTGGGTTCGATTCCTCAGCACCACATAAGCAAAAAGAAAAAAGCTGGAAGTGGCGCTATGGCTCAAGTGGTAGAGCGCTAGCCTTGAGCTGAAGCGCTGAGGGACAGCGCCCAGGCCCAGAGTTCAGGCCCCATGACTGGACCCCCCCCAAAAAAAAATAAAATAATATGTGGCCTCTCAGTTTGAAAGCAAAGTAAGGGATAATATAGAACTTCATATCCCAATAGTTTGGAGCAACAGTTAGATTGCTGCTTTGAAATTGTTAGTTAAATTTTTAAAATAAGCAAGGTTGTACTAGACTTGATTCCAACAGGCACAGTTCCTTAGTGAAGCCCTTAGGCACATTGTTTTTTTAACAGATGGAGGGAAGGCAGGGCATGTGGCCAGAACGCAGCAAGACTGGCGTGGGCACCTGAATGCGCTGAGGTGAGGCTACCGCAGAGTCGGTGGAGATGATCTGGATGCGTGGGGAGGGGCTGGTCATCCCTGGAGATTCCGGCCGAAGGGTCTGCGTATGTGGTACCTGTGGGTGAGATCAAAAGGGTCAGAAAGATGTCCAGTGGAGCCTGAGAACTGTCTCTTCTTGCTATGGCCTTGTACAATTCTGAGGTATTAAGCCAGCATAACAAAGGATCAGTGAGATATTAACATAAGGTGGCTCCAGAAAATAGCATCTTAAAATAGCTGTTTCTAATGTGGAAAATACAAGGATAAACCAAAGGAATTTTCACTTCTGCTCTGCACAATTTAATTTTTTTAAAGTTACCAAAATAACTTCCTAGAGAGAAACTTTGAAAATTTTCACTACTTTCAAAGCCAGCTGTAAAACTCTTAGATGACTTTCCAGAGAAAGGCTCTCATAGCAGTGCAGGAGGGACAAACAGAACCTGCAAGACACTGAAAACTACTGGGATCATAACATTTCATAGCATTAGGAAGCCTCAGTCCCAAAGGGATGGAGCTGGGAAAGCAAAGGCAAGGTTCAAAGTGCTGAGTTGTCACCTGAGTACTGAAGTAAGAAGATATCAGCTTCCTTGATTAAAAGTATGTCATGAACTAATACCCTACATAGTTCCAAAACACAGGAGAGAACATTTCCTAATTCATTCTATGAGGTCATTATTAGCCAACACCAAAACCAAGATCCAATAAGAAAATGATAGACCAGTATCTCTTAGGAATACAATGTTAAAAATCCTCAATATGTAATCCCAGCTACTTGGAAGGTAGAGATCTGGATGACTGTGCTTAGAGGCCAGAACAGGCAAAGTTATTTAGCAAGATCTGTTTCTCAACAAAGAAGCCAGACATGGTGGTGCACATCTATAACCCAAGCTACATGAGCGATTTAAGTCCAAAGTTGGTTCTAGGCAAAGGCAAGACCTTATCTGCAAAATAAAAGCAAAAAGGCTGGGGATATGGCACATGTGGCAGAGTACCTGCCTAGAAAATGTGAGGGCCTGAGCTCAAACCCCAATACTACAAGAAAACAAAACTTACAAAAGAGAGCAAACCATATCCAGGAACATTTAAAAGATTATACACTGTGACTAAGTGGGGTTTGTCTCAAGGCTAGCAAGATGCTAGTGGCTCACACCTGTTATCCTAGCTACTCAGGAGGCTGAGATCTAAAGATCATGGTTTGAAGCCAGGCAGGCAGGAAAGTCTGTGAGATACTTATCTCCAATAAATTATTCAGAAAAGGCCAGAAGTAGTGCTGTGGCTCAAGTGGTAAAGTGCTAGCCTTAAGCAAAGGGGCTCATAGACAGCACCAGGACCTGAGTTCAAGGCTCACGACCTACAAAAAAAATAGATAAAAATGTACAGATGGTTCAACATATGTAAATCAATATAGTACATCATATTTTAAAAAGTAAAGGATAAGAGACCACATGATCATTTCAATTGACAGAGAAAGCCTTTGAGAAAATCTAATACCCTTTCACAATCAAAACTCAACGAAGGGGGCTGGGAAGGTGGCTCAGTGGTAGAGTGCTTTCCTTGCACGCATGAAGCCCTGGGTTCGATTCCTCAGCACCATATAAGCAGAAAAAGCTGGAAGTGGTGCTGTGGCTCAAGTGGTATAGCACTAGCCTTGAGCTGAAGAGCTGAGGGACAGTGCCCAGACCCAGGGTTCAGGCACCATGACTGGCAAAAAAAAAACTCAACGAAGTAGGAACAGAAAGAAAATTTGCAACCTGGCAAAAGACTAAAAGTTTCCCCCTGAGATAAGAAGCAAGTTGAGGATGCTGGCTTTCATCACTTGCACAAAACATTGACGTAAAGGCCACAAGCAAGGGATTAGGGGGAAATAAAGAAAAGTAGGTATGCATCCTGACTGGGAAAGAGGAACTAAAACTATATCTGTAAATTAAATAATCTTTTTTTTTTTTTGGGTCCGGTTGTGGGGCCTGAGCTCTGGGCCTGAGCGCTGTCCCTCAGCTCTTCAGCTCAAGGCTAGCGCTCTACCACCTGAGCCACAGCGCCACTTCTGGCTTTTTTCTTTTTGCTTATGTGGTGCTGAGGAATTGAACCCAGGGCCTCAGGCATGCAAGGCAAGCGCTCTACCACTGAGCCAACTTCCCAGCCCTAAATAATCTTTTATATAGAAAATCAATCCACCCTCCTCACCCCCCCCCAAAAAAATCTACTGAGAGCTAGTAAATGAATTCCAAGGTTATAGGGTACAAGACCAATGTAGAACAGTCAACTGTAGCTGTAACGTTAGCAATGAATGATTTGAAAATAAAACTAAGGAAACAATCTCAAAAAGAGCAAAATATTTAGAAATAATTTAAGTATAAGATAATAAATATAAGATTTGTAATGAAAACTATAAAAGATTGTTAGAATTGTAAAACAGCTTAAATAAACTGTCTTGGGCTGGGCACCAGTGGCTCACGCCTGAATTACTAGCCACTCAGGAGGCTGAGATCTGAGGATCGTGGTTCAAAGCCAGCCTGGGCAGGACAGTCTGTGAGACTATCTCCAAATAACCACCAGAAAACAGGAAGTGGCGCTGTGGCTCAAAGTGACATGGCTCAAGACACTAGTCTTGAATGATAAAGCTCAGGGACAGTGCCCAGTCCCTAAGGCTCAAGCCCCATGACCGATCCAAAAAAAAAAAAAATCTGTGTGCATAGACCAGAAGATTTAAGACTGGTAAGATGGCAATCCTCCACAAACTGACTTACAGATTCACTACAATTCCTAGAAAATTCCAGGTGCTTTTCTTGTATAAACTGACCAGAAGATGCTAAAATTCACATGGAACTGCAAGCGACCCAAAGAACCAGACCGTGAAAAGAAAAAGTTGCCTCTTCATTTCAAATACTACAAACCTACAGCCATCAGCTATAGGATCTAGCTAATCTCTCTTCTGAGGATTCACCCAAAAGATCTGAAATCTGAAGAGATGTTCAGTATAGCATTAGCCAAGGTAGCCAAGTTACATAACCAACCTAAGGGTCCATCAATGGATGGAGGAAATGTAGTACATATATACAATGGCGTGCATCAATAACAAAGGTCTGCCCTTTATGACAACATGGATGGAATTGGAGAACATTTGCTAAGTGAAATATGCCATGTACAGATACATAAATACTGCATGTCCTCATTCACATGTGGAATCTAAAACAATCAAACTTACAGAGGCAGAGAAGAATGGACCTCAGGTTCACTAGGCAAGCACTACCCACACCATAGTCCTTCTTGTTCTTTTTTTTTGTTTGCCTTCCTTTTCCATCCTTTTCTTTTCCCTTTCTTCCTCTTCCTTTTAGATTTTTCAAATAGGGTACTGCTCTTGCTTGGAGCTACACTTGGCTCCAATTCTCCTATCTCCAATTCCCACGTGATGGGAATTAAAGGTATGAACTACAGTGCACAGGTTTGTTGCTGGGTTTTTTTTTAGATCAATTACATAGCATGGTAAATATGGTTAATAATTGCATATTGTCATTTTCAAAGTTGCCAAGAAAGTAAGTTTCAAATTATATCACAAAAATAATATTTGAAACGATGGACATATTAAGTAACTTGACGTGTTTATTCCATTTTGTATTTGTAAATCCTAACATCACCTTGTACCTCAAAAATGCAAAATGTTAAAACTGTCAGCCAGGTGCCAGTGATTCACACCTTTAATTCTACTCAGGAGGCTGAGGATCTGAGGATCATGGTTCAAAACCAGCTTGGGCAGGAAAGTTCGTAAGACTCTTATCTCCAATTAACTACCAAAAAAAACCCAGAAGTGGAACTCTTAGTCAAGTGGTAGAGTATTAGCCTTGAGCACAAAGAGGCTCAGGGATAGCACCTAGGCCCTGAGTTCAAGCCCTTGGACTGGCACTAAAAAAAGTTTAAAAATAAACTGTCAATTTACAACAACAACAACAACAACCCCAGTATGGTATTGGTATAAATACAGATAAACAGACCAATGGAATTGAGAACCCAGAAATAACTCTCATATATATGTTCAAATGATTTTACCAAGACAATCTGATTTGTTAGCCACTAAGACACTACCTGTGGTTGCGGAATTGTGAAGGAAGTGCAGGGGAGGAGCTGGACTTTCGGTGACTGTTATATGCCTCAGAATGGTCTTGTTTCAAAAAAAAAAAAAAGTCTTCAGAGAAACATACAAGAAACCAGCCCAAATCTGGAAGGCACACTGACTTGCCCTTTTCAGGGTAAACTTTGTCCATTATAATACTACAGTCTCCACTCAGGGTCCTTCCTATCTAACATTGATTTATGGTGGCATGTGCTTGAAATCCCAGTGAAGTGGGAGGAATAGGATTTAGGCAAAAATTGGAAAAGTTAAGCAGGCCGAGGGCAGGGCTTGAGTAGTAAGAGTGTCCTGACTATCAAATCCAAGCCCCGGAGTTCAAATGCTAGTATTGCTAAGACAACAACTGCCCAGTGAATATATTAGCTTAGGGAAGGCACAAGGTCTTTACTATATATAAGCTTTGAACCCAGGACTCTGCAGAGATCTGCTCTGAGATCTCTACTCCTGTCTGTCTGCTAACTAGCCATTCTCTAGGTATAGATTAGCACTTAACACTAGCTCCCTGCAATGGAAAATTGAGCATTCTCACGCTGGGCGGGGAACACAGGAAGCTTCTCCATCCCATCACAGCACTCCACTGCCTACATACAGGTATTTACTGAAAGATGAACATCTGGTAAGAGGATGATGCTCATATTAACAGTTAATGTGCAAATTCTACAGTTTATTCTACTATTTATTCTTAAGTTTTGGTTTTAACAGTCCCATAGGTTATTAATTGAGCAACAGAGTTCAAACAGTGTTTAGAAAACAGCATGCGGACCTAATAAGTTACAAACCTCAACCAGGAACTTCCTACTTCTCCCTAACACTCCCCCAAGGAAAACAATGAAAATGTCTAAGTGGGATAAGGGTTTCTGTCCGGGGATGCCTTCAGCCTGCACTGAAATGTATTACATCCTTCTTTTAAATCTATTTCAGAGAATCGTTAAATCAGAAGCCTGGTGAAGA